CCCCAAACGTGAAAGGAGCCTTTGTGGGCTTGGTGGAAGGGGGAGGTGAGGTGCAGCCTGAAGAGCTCACTTTTTCCATGACTCAGCTCTGCCGCCCAGGGTGGGCACCGGAGGTGTGAGCACTCGCAGGGCAGGCGGAGCCGCCTTCTAGCCCAGGCAGCCGATTCCCGGATTACAGATGGGCGGGCCCCCAAGAGAGCCACCCTGTGACCCGCGGGGGAACTTGCTGGCCCTGGTGGGCCATCAGGCTGTGGCCAGTACCTCCCCACCCCCATCCCCAGGGCCAGTCCCCATCTTCTTTTTAACTTACTATTGCATCCCCAGGGTGAAACACATGAATGCTCATGTGTAGTCCTTTAACCAGGCACTTTCCTCCTTACAACCTCAGCCGAGAGCTGGAAAAATAAATGGGTCTCATGCCTCACCTCCTGCCTTCTACTCATCTGAGGCTTGGAGAATTCAGAAAGTCACTCAGGATCACACAGCTGAGACATGCAGGTGGGATCTGAACCCTGGCCGATGCTCAGCTCTGCCTGCTTTGTCCTCGGGTTTCTCTCAGAACGCACAGGAGCGTGTCAAAACGCAGGTTCCTGGGTTTCCAGCCTAGACCTCCGGGACCAGCACCCTGGGAGGGGGGCAGGAATCCGAGGGCTGGTGATTGTTCTAGAACCTCCCAGTGCTGCCTCTCCACGGCCCCCTCCTTGCCTCCTCGGCCCCACACGAGCCCTTCCTCCTTGGCACTTAGGCTGCATCCCGGCCCTGAGCTCTCGCCCACGGGCCGCCTGGGTTGGTGGCTGTGGTCGGCTTCACAGGTAACTCTCGGGGAAGGAAACGGAAGCTGGAGGAGCAGGTGCCTCCACCCACCATTCAGTCCATCGGTCCACCGAGTCCCCACCTGGGCGGCCCCCTGCAGCGGCTGGGAGGCCACGGGGATAGGCCAGATGGGTCCGAGAGGGTGGCACGGGGTGGTTCTGGCTTTGGGTTCCGGCAACTTTGGTTCAAATCCCAGCCCTGCCACTTCCGGGCTCTTATTTCCAGCTTCATCTTTTGTAAGGGGAGGGTAACGATGGCAATAGGGATTAGCAGAGCTCAGGAAATGCCAGCTCAGAGATGGGCCCCGCTGGCAGGGCCTTTCCATCTTGCCGAGGAGCCAGCCTCCTCCCGGGCAGCATGAGGGGTTGATGTCCCGGGTGTTCCTGGGCCCACCCGCCCAGCCACCTTCCACCCACACCTGCCAGCACCCTCCCCCAGGACCTTTTCTCTTTGGCCAAGTAAACCCCTACTCATCTCGCAAGGTCTCCTTTAGCTCAAGTGGTATTTTTTCCCAGGAAGCTCTTTCCAGCTCCCCTCTCAGTCCCCAATGTCCCTGGGGGGCCAGAGTGATGGACCTGTGGGGACAAAGCGATGGGGTATTTGGGGGACAGAGATGAGAGTGGGCAGGGGATAGAGCGATGGGGGTGGGCTAGGCAGCTGTTCATGTAGGGCGACCACTGGGGCGGGGACCTGAGTGGAGTGGGGAGGGAACCCGAGGAAATCTGGGTAAAGAGCCCTAACGG